AATCTTCCACCAGAAACTAGAGATACACCATTATACTACCAGAAACCACACAGAAACATCATTCTTCTACCAGACACCACCAGAGATACACCAACATACTAACATGACTACAGATATACCAACACATTACCAGATACCACTGATACACCAACCTTCAACCAGACATGACAGATACTCCAGTCTTCCACCAGAAACCACAGACACAAGAACCTTCTATTAGATACTACAGATAGACCAATGATCCACAAAACAACACACAGATACAACAAATTTCTACCAGATACCACCACAGATACACCAACATACCACCGGACACCACAGATACACCAACCATCCACCAAATATAACAGATACACCGAAGTTCCAATAGACATTGCACAGATACATCAATATAGTACCAAATGTAACACAGAGTCAACAAACTTCTACTAGACACCACTACAGGTACACCAGCATGCTACTAGACACCAATCATACACCAACATACTACCAGATACCACAGACACACCAACCTTCCACCAGACACCACAGATAGAAAAAAAAATCCATTAATACCACAGATACACAATCCTTCCACTACACACTACACAGATATACCAACCTCCACCAACTACTACAACAGATACAACCTTCCACCAGAAACCAGATACATCAACCTTCAACAAGACATCAGAGATACACCAACCTTCCACCAGACACCACACATATACCATTACACTAGAAACCACTGATATAACAACCTTCAACCAACACCACATAGATACACCAAACTTCCACCAGATACTCCCACAGATACACAAAGCTTCCAGCAGACACCACCGTTCCACCAGACACCACAGAAATACCACATGTGCATCAGAAACCAGAAATATATCATTATATTACCAGATACCACATAGATCATCTACCTTCTACAAGACACCACCAGAGATACACCAACACACTTCCACACACCACAAATATACTATCCTTCAACCAGACTTCACAGATACTCCAACCTTCCACCAGAAACCACAGAAACACCAACCTCCCATTAGACACCACACATAGACCAACGTTCCAAAATATACCATATGGACATACTAAACTTCTACCAGATACCACCACAGATAACACCAACATACAACCAGACACAACAGATACACCAACCTTCCACCTGACGTCACAGATACACCAACACACTACCAGACATCACAGATAAACCAGTCTTCCACTACACACCACAGATACACCAACCTTCTACCAGAAACCACAGATACACATTCATACTACCAGATACCGCACAGATACACCAACCTCCAATGAGATACCACATACACAGTTCCACCAGACACTACACAGATACATCAGCCTTCTACCAGACACTAGCAGAGATACACCAACATATGACCAGATACAACAGATACACCAACCTTACACCAGACAGATACATTAACATACTTACCAGATACCACAAATACTTTCCACCAGAAAACTACAGATATGTCAATCTTCCATTAGACACCACAGACAAACCAACCTTTCATCAGACACCACTACAGATATACAAACCTTCAAGACACCACACCAACCTTCTATCAGACACCAAAGATACACCAATATTCCACCCACCACCACATATATACACCAACATTCCACCAGATACCAACTTTCCCCTAAACATCACTCAGATACACCAACCTTCCATTAGATACTAGAGATAGACCAATCTTCCACCAGATACCACACAGGTACAACAACACACTACCAGACAGACACCACAGATACACCAACCTTCCATCAGAAACCACATAGATCCCAGTGGGAAGAGAAGCCCTCCCCTGACCATCAACGTATGAGGCAGGTTCCTCACCTGGGCAGCACAGTAGAGCTGACCCTGTTGGTGGAGGTGTGGGTGAGCCAGCCCCAATGTTGTGAGCATGAGAGAGCTGTCCTCACTACTCATTTGTCTTATGGCGGCATGGGCAGGAGAGAGATCCCCCCTCCCTGGCCATCAACAACCATGGCAGGTGGGAGAGCAGTCTCCTCCCCTCATCAACTGCAGTACTCGGAAGAGTGAACCCTACATCTCTCCTGGACAATATAGTAGAGCTGACCTTGAAGGTGTAGGTGTGGGAGAACTGGAGAACGGGCCCCGGCCCCTGCTTATTACTACAAGGGGTAAACTAGCCAGGACAATGCTGGAGAGCTTACCCTGGTGGCAAAACAGGGGAGAGCTGGTGGGCCAACCAACTGTGTAACTACCCAGTTCCAGAACTAGGGTTATATATTGGCCCACCCCAACATCTACCCCATCTGTGATCTGCTGGAGCATGGGGCAGGGTAGGCGAGGTCATCAGTCCTTGGACGCAGGACTGCAGGATCTCCACAACATAGGGCACCAACCAGATATCCAGGAAGTCTCAGTGAGGGCCCAGTGTCAATGGTGCTGCAGAGACCAGGGGTCTTGAACCAAATCAATGATTCTTTTCTATAAATGCCTGCACGTAAAAATATATGGATAAAGGGATTTACTGTGGCTCACTGTGTCACGCTGCAGCTTCCATGATGAGATTTTCCCTTCCTCCTCCCCCGCCCTTTCTCTTAAATTTTATTTTGTTTTATTCTGGGGTGGGAAGGGAGAGGGTTGGGATTGGAGGCATAATGTGAAAAGACACAAAGAATAAAAAACTTAAAAAAAGAAACACACACACAGATACACCGATACACTACCAGACAACACACTGACACACCCATACCACCAGACACCACAGATACACCTATCTCCCATAATACACCAGTCTTCCAACAGACAGTACACAGATACACTAACCTCCCACCACACACCACAGATACACCTATCTCCCATAATACACCAGTCTTCCAACAGACAGTACACGGATACACTAACCTCCCACCAGACACCACAGATACACCAAACTTGCACCTGACAACACACAGGTAAAACAAAACACCACCAGACACCACAGATACATCAGACTCACCAACTTTGCACAAGAAACCACACAGATACACCAATATACTATCAGACACAACAGATACATCAACCTTCCACCAGAAACCAGATACACCAACTTCCTACCAGATGCCACAGATATACCAGCCTTCCATCATACACTATGGATATACCAATCTTCTACCAAACACCACCACAGACACACCACCAGACACCACACAGATATACCAACATACTAGCAGACACCAGTTACAGCAACCTTCCACTAGAAACCACAGATACACCAGCCTTCAACAAATACCACACTGATACATCAACCTTCCATGAGACAGCACAGAGACACCAACCTTGTACCTGACAACAGATACACCAACATACTACCAGAAACCAGATACACCAATCTTCCACAACACACCAGCCTTCCACCAGACACCACACAGATACACTAGCTTTCGACCAGACACTACAGATATACCGACCACCACCACAGACCCTTCAATAGACCAACCTTCAACAACAATCCACAGACACACCAACCTTTTACCAGACACTACACAGTTACAAAACACTACCACACACCACAGATACACCAGCATTCCACCAGACACCTCACAGATAAACCAACATACTACCAGACATCACACAGATACATCAAAAACCTTCTACCAGACACCACAGATACATCAACTGTACACTTGAAACCACACAGATACCTAAACCTTCCACTTGACACCAGATGCACCAACACACTACCAGACACCACAGATATACCAATCTTCCACAACATATCACAGACATACTAGCCTTCTACCAGTCACTACACAGATACACCAACCTTACACCCGACACCACACAATTAAACCAACACACTACCAGACATTAAAAATGTACCAATCTTTCACAATACACCATAGGTACAGCAACCTTGCACTAGACACTACACATACACCAATATGCTACATATACCAGACAACACAGATATACCAACCGTCCACCAGACACCACACAGATACACCAACATTCCACTAGAGACCACAGATATACTAACCTCCAACCAACACTACACAGATACACCAACCTTCCACCAGACACCAAACTTCTAGAAACCATACAGACATACCACCCTTCCTTCCATCAGATACCACATAGACATACCAACCTTCCACATGACACCACAGATACACCAAAGTTCCACCAGACACCACACAGATACATCAACTATCTACCAAACTGCCAGCAGTTACATCAACATAATATCATACACCACAGATAAACCAAACATACTTCCAATCTTCCACAACACACCACAGATACACCAACCTTTCATCTAAACCACAGATACACCAGATACTCCAATCAGATACTCTGATATTCCATCAGATACCACATGATATATCAACATACCACCAGACACCACATAGATACACCAAACTTCTACTAGACACCACCACGGATACACCGACATACTACCAGACACCACAGATACACTAACCTTTCACTAGACACTGCAGATACACCAGTGTTCCTCCAGACAGCACAAAGACAAATCAACACACTACCAAACACCACACAGATACACTAATCTTCTACCAGACCACACAGATGTACCAACCTTCCACCAGATACCACAGATACCTCAGCCTTCTGCCAGCCAATACAGATACACTAATCTTCTACCAGACCACACAGATGTACCAACCTTCCACCAGATACCACAGATACCTCAGCCTTCTGCCAGACACTACAGATATACCAGCGTTCAGCAGACACCACACACACAGATATACCAACCTTTCACTAGACACGACCTAGTTACCCCAATCTTTTGGAACTCTATACTCCCAACCTGTTTGAAATGTCTTTGGAATATGTGGCTAGAATGGTGTGAAGGGCGATGGGTGTGGTATGTATAACTGGAAATCACAGTACTTGGCAGAGCTGAATTCATGATGTTTGGGTTAAACTTGAAGAATACATCTCAACCAAAATAAAAGAATTGTGATGAATACTTAAAAATACTTAGAAAGAACTGGAGTCTGAATCATGCATCTGTAAACATAGCATTTTATTAACAAAATGTTTACACCTCTCTTGACACAAATTTTATAGTGATGGAGCATGCCATACTCTAGAAAAGCATACATAGAAGTCAAGCTGAAGAAACACTGTTTCAAAGTATTCCAGATTTACCATCTGCAAACCGAAGTACACAAAAGAAAAATCTTACAACAAAAAGCAAAAGGCGGAGTGTCCTTTTTTCAGTGTTTACAAACAAAACAGACATCATACAGTTTACATAGACTTAGGTCCAGCCCAAGGTCAGACTGCAAAAATGGTCATCAAACACCCATACAGGCTTGGCAAACCCTCATTCCAGTATTGTGTTCCAGGTAACCAGGCAGTCCATCATCGGCTTTCAGTTCAGGTTGTTTAGAGTGCTACCAGGCTTGGGAAACCAGGAACAACTCAATTTTCATACAGATGCTATTTAAAAAAAGGCACAAGGCGCTTACTCCTTGCACTGGATCTTGATAAAGTGATGGCACTCTCAGGAGTAAAAAGGATTGCTGGTACTAGGGCTTAGGTTTTCTTTCCTGTTTAGACGTTTTGTTTGGACTTTGAAACTCAACAAGTGCTCTCCTCCCCACTTCGTGGGGTTCTGATACATCAGCCCACTGTCCTATCCCCTGGGACAGAACACTTTCTGTCACTCAGTTGTGTCTGCCTTGTGGGCTCATGCTGCCTGCTGCCCTTCTGGAAGTCCTGGGGGGGGGGTCTTTATCCCCCAGGGAAGGGCAGGTCATGTGTGCTGAGATGGCTGGGGCAGGGTGCCTGAGGGAGAGCCCACAGAAAATCAAGAGTAAGGCAAGAATTCAGTGTCAACCATATAAAAGGCAGGCCATAATTTCTGAAGGTCAGAGCAGTGATTGATGATGGTGTGAGTGACTCATGATGTAAAATGATGGAAAGACTGAGTGGGGCGTTTAAAAAAAAAAATAAAAAAGATCCTCCTCGGGGTAATAAAGCTCTGTCTACAGAACACAACAAATGGTTTAAAAATAGAGCCCAGATCAACTGCCATTCATCCTCCCCCACCAATCTGACTGGTCCCTCTGACATCATGACCCAAGTTGAGAAAGTGTCATGCACCACATAGTAACTTCAAACAGGGATGGGAAGAAAAAAGTTCCAGCCTTGCTTCCAAGCTTTTCCAAGGGGTGAATGGATAATTTAAATAGAAATGCCAAGTGATAAAGATGGTCAAACAATGTGAGGACTAGTCCTCAAAGCAAACAGTACTGTGGGCAGGGTCTCCCAATGGTCTGGAGCAGGTGAGCATGGGGTGGTCTCCAGCCTGGCTGAGCAAGTGACTCAAGACCTGCTTTGTGGAGTGGCAGATGAAACACACAACTTGGTTTTAGATGCTCTGGAGCCTCCTTGACAATGTCAGTTCTGTGTAAAGATGATTCACTCCAATGGACTGTCTACACAACCTGCCTTTAAACACTGCCAAGTTCCTGAATCAAGAAGTGGCCTGAGGAAAGCAGCAGGCTGTCTCTACAGTGCCATTAAGGAGGACATGAAGACCCATGTTTGAAGACTGTCAATTAAAGGAGGCTCTTTAAAAAAAAATCATGACTGTCTTAGGACTCCCCATTAATTGGCAGACAGAGCTTAGCACTTAAGTCCTGTCTGTGGAGAGCTACCCGGGTTTTTGCTTGTAATTATGCAGCATTTTGATGAGGCACTGGACACTGTAAAATGAACTCACAGCAAATTAAAACATTTTTTTCCTGCAAGTTTTTTAGACATTATGGTTTTAATCTCACCATCTACTATTTATATATTCTAATCTTGCTATCTGAAATGTTCAACATAATGAAAGGAATCGATGGAAGGTCTGAGTTTTTTTTTTATTAAATTTCTGAATCCTTTTGTTTTGAAGCCAGAAATATTCTAGCACATCTCTAATTGATTACCCTCTGAGAGGAAAGAACACAGATATTAGTTATTTCTGATGGTACAGAGCATCAAATTAAACTTGATCTATGCTGGTAGAAGTCCTAGCTCCAGAGAGTAAATCACTCCTCCAGGCTCAGAGCATCCTGAAGGACGAGCTGAGAAATACGACGATTCCAAGCTCTATTCATCTGCCCTTCTCAGCACATCTGATGAAGTTCATCAGGGTAGGTCCCTCACTCATCACCCTCTGAGATGTGTAAGGAAGGCTCCTGAGAAGGGCAATACCCTTCTAATATTTTTTAGAGTTTCATTTGCACATAAAACAGGACAAATGCCCTGGCATTCCATTAACATTTCTCACAGATCAGATAATCAAACTGCCTGGTTTTCTATTACTGAAGTCGAGACAAGCCTCTCTGCTGTCACAGGAAATCCACCGAGGCCATTCTTCTAAGTCTCAGGCTAAACTCTACCTGATCCTCCTCTTCTAAAACTGCACTGTGTTCTGGTTGTCTTCTAAATAATTGGCTGCTCAGAATATTTTTTTTTTTAAATTATGACATTTATGGTGTATCTGTGTGTGCGGTGTGGGAGGACACGTGGAGATCAGAAAACAACTTGTGAAACTCTTCTCCTTCCACTATGTGGGTTCTAGGGATTGACCTTGTGTCATCAGTCTAGGCAGCAAGCGCCTTTACCTGCTGAGCCATCTCACCAACCCCATTAAAAAAAAAAATCATTCATGGGCTATCTTAAACCATCACCTTTTATCATCAAAGCCCCCCCACCCCCGCCGTAAGGAAGGCATAGTTAACAGCTTGAATCTTGAAAGTACATCCGATTTCTTCCTTAAAAACTGATGAAACCAAACAATCAAAAATTGTTTTGCTTGTCTCTTCAAAACAAATTTAAAAAAGGACTTCCAAGGAATTCCATGACCTAGCTTCCACTGTCATTCTGTGCTCACCAAAATCAGGCTAAAGAGCCTGCTAAGTTCTGTGATACAAGCCACCTGTCCGGCTGCCATGCTCTGAAGCAGGGTTGGAGGTTAGGGGAGAACTAAGGGTTCCCAGCTACCTTTGCCCAGGAGGGTTCTCTCCTGACCCCTGCAGGGTCTTGCAGACACATGGGTGTCCAAGGGCCAGTTACAGAGATCACATAGTGTAAGGGCCCACATGTCACAGTCTCTGTGGGTTCTGAAAGAATGAGTGAGGAATGCTGAGCTGAACCCCATCAGCCTCTTCTGCAATAGAAAAGACAGAAGGCAGTGAACTATTGCCTTTTGGGATGCAGAGGCCCACATGCTGGCATGCAGTGTACCCCAAACTGAACCCACCCATTCAAACACGGTACCCTTGAAAATACCGCAGCAGACCCTCTGGTTTGGTAGCCCTTTGGGTGCCAGGTGACAGCCACCTACAGGACACTTGGAGCTGTGTCTCTTAAGAGCTTTAGAAAGCCCCCATACCCACTTTCCTCCTGGAGACAAGGAACAAATGTTAAGACTTACAGAGAAGTTCTAAAATTAAATGTGGGCCACCCCCACTCCCCTGTCATATTTAAAAATCCAGAGGACAGCTAATCTCAACAAGAACACTGGCCTCTTCAAGTAGCAATGACTCTCATAAGAAAATTTCGGTCCTTTGACCTGGGTAGGCGTCCAAGGAATGGGAGCACAATGAGAGGAGGCGGGTACTTCAAACATCATCATAAACGGGAACAAGGACCCAGGTTAATTTACAATAAATCTTTCGGTTGCCGTGCACAGTGCTTGTCTTGGGTGCAGCTGACAAGCAGGCGATGGCGCTTCACTGGGAACCAGAAGGGCTTGCAGTAGGTATTTCTCTCCAATCACTTCTCACAGCGTTTACACTGAAGGACACTTAATCAGACTCTCACTTTATGTTCTTTTAATCATCAAATGATAGCTAATTAGTTATCACAGAATCAGAAAAACACTTATGTAAAAGAAGAGAAGGAGAGACCAGTGGTTGCTAGGACTGGACACCTGCAAGGAGCTGATGTCAATTTCTCTGAAAGAAATCAATACACACTGGCAGTTAATTCAAGATCTTTCCCTTTCTGGCCAGTCTTCAAAATTTTTAAAACTGGCCCTGCATCATAGGGAACTAGATTTTTATGGAGGGGCTATGTCTTAATGCCCTTGGAGTCTGGCTATTTCTCTTAAGAAAAAAGCCCAGGAAAATAAGAAATATGTATTAGATTCCTATTTAATCTAAAATGTGGTCAAAATAAAGCACTAAGTCTGACTACATTTTACTGCGCACTTCCTAAGACAGTCAATGGAGACCTCCCTGTGTTCACCGAGCTTGAACCTGCTGTCTGTCATTAAGCAGTACAGGACACCACAAGCAGGGCAGCCCCCTTCTTGGACAGACTGGTGACAGAGGGCAAGAAAGACACGAACAGAGGGTTCATGCTGCTCATCCTGTTGGTAAGACATGCAGCCGTGGCCAGAGTCACTCCCTACATGTGGCACGAGAGGGAATTAGTGAGAGAAGCTACCACGTGCCACAGAGGAGAGCAGCCACTGGATGTGCCACGACTTCCAGAATTTACTAGGCTGTTCAGATCATAAATTTATACCATCTTTAGGTGAAACAAGTCAGAAAGGGTCTCACATGGGCAGCCCTGTCCACATGAGCCAAGCAGCTTTGTTTTGTGTCCTGGAGATGGAGGTTTGGCATGGGACTGTTGGAGACATACCTTCCTGCAGGTGTACGTCAAGTCCTATCAAGCCACCACAGGTGGAAGGAGCCAGTCTCGGGAAATCACAGGGTTTTCTCTACATGCGTGTGAACTGGACACTGTGCAGGAGGCTCAGTACACAAGGTGCTGGAAGCCTGACCTCAGTGAGGGTGAACAACTGATGCTTACATGGCCTCGCTCAGTCTGGGTCACCTGGGTCACCCTCTGTTAACACCTCTCCATTTTAAGCATATAGGGGAGTGGCACAAAGTAGTAACAATTGTTTTGAAAAGTTTTGACTGTTCAGTTAAGGACAGCTCTGAAAACACATTTGGTTTGAAATTCAAGCTGTTTCATTTCCTATTTAATCTTGTAAATTTCCTTCCCTTACAATACTCGGGCTGGAAGGGCGCCAAATCAGGCCAGGAACAAATTTCCAGCAGTTTCACTTGGGGGCTTTATTTTTAGATTATATTAAGAACCTCATTAGGTTCCTGAGGGAAAAGAGTGCAAAGCACTAACAGAGGCAAGAGAAAATAAAGGAGGATGAGGTGAGCCGGCTGTTAACAAGCAAAGCACTCTGAACACAGTTGGTCTGAGCTTACTACTGTCAAAGCCAGGTGAGTGACCGGTGCTGGGCTCTCACTCGCCCCAGGCTACGAAGGACTGGTCAGGCTTGTCAAGGAGGCATATGTCTTTATTACCATTTCCAGATGGGATGCAGAGGGGCGCGGGAGGAGGAAGGAAGCTGTGAGCTAAGTGCTCTATGCTTCTGCACAAGGTGAATGTGCTTCAAAATTTTCTGTGGACCGGCTGAAAAATGGGGGGTGGCGGGGGGGGGCACACGTGAGACGGGGTACAGGACTAAATGGAGTACTGAACAGAATTCAGAAGTTATTAATGTATTTACATAATTTATAATTTTAAAGCAACGGTCTCATAAATATAGACTACAAATATACATTTGCTAGGCAGCACACATTTTTTTTTCCCCATCAAAATACCTGGGCCAAAAACCAAAAAACCATTTCCTTTGTTCTTTCTCTCTTCCTTTTAAACCACTGTTCACCAGTGTAGACACATGTAACTCAACTGGCTCCAAGGAGTGTCTCTACACCATCCCCTGGGCCACGGGAACTTATTTAGAAAGGTAATGATAAAACTAATACGTGGTGACATAAACAGGGTCAGAAGTAAACCCAAGGTGAGTCAGGCTGCTGCTGCCACAGTTGCGTGTTAATTTACTGTGTAGGAAAGTGCATTAGAGATGGTGGAGACTGTCCCAGGAACAACTGTCCCTCCACTGTGATCACTTTCTATATCTTAAATGACACAACTCTGACACTAGAGACAAGGATCAAGGAGATGACCATCTCTGCAGCCTTTTCCCTTAAGATCCATGAAAGTGCTCACTTCCCTTTACAAATGATACATGACATCCTGATTACAAAAGCACCAGCAATTCAATCCTACCATCCATATATCAGATGTTCCTTTCAGCTAGGTCAATAGCCAAGGATATGGTCCCTTTGTAAGCCAGAGTCCGCACCAGAAGTCTGCAGATGGAAACACCTGCTGCAGTTTTCCAAGAGAACCCAACAGCCAGTTCCTCTGAGTCCTTTTTGCATGAAGAAGACTCCAGGGCACGAGGCGGCTGCCAATGGCAGGGACTGGTCCTCCTGCACCGTCCAGGACCACCTGCTTCTTCATCAGTGTGGGGCCTGGGTCATCAGCAGCAGCTTCGCTTTGGCTCTGACGGCTGTCTTCGGAGTTTGAAGCCCTTGCCGCCAGACGGCGGGTTGGCATCCGTGGATGGAATTCTTCGGCCTGCACCAAAGGGAGAGGACAGGAGAGGAGGCATAAGCTTTGATTTCCTAATCTGTTCCTTCTCAGACACAATTTTGGCAATGCAACGTGGCAGTTTCACTGAGGTTAGGACAAGTAAGATGATCAAGAAGACAGGGACAGTGTGCCTGTTCACTCTGACCTAGCATCACCTAATGCCCGACCTACAGGACACCTGCTACAGTGAAGACCATAACATTGCCATGGCACCAGTCTTTCAGATGTCACTAGTTCTTCAACTAACATACTTCTTCTATTAGAGGATCCAAATAAGGATACCAAACAGCATTTAGTAAACTTTATAAACACAAAAATTAGACTAAAAACACTTTCTCTTGAGCCAGTAAACACAAACACATTTAGGGGAAAAAACAAAAACAAAACAACCACCAACATGCTTGGTTCCATGTCTCATGGCAGAGACCATCACAGGTATGTGGCTACTCCCAGATGTGCCCAGCTCCTCTGCCCCTTAGGATGGTCCCTCACAGTACACAGGGGGCTGCTGCTTCTCTCAATAGTTGAGCATGTGCATTGCGCCTCTTAGACTCATCATTCCTCTACTGATGGGCACCAAAATCCCCAGTACTTCAGTGTTTTGAGCAACTGTGTGTGTGGGGGGGATTAAAGAACTGGAAGAGAGGAGCCAGGGCACTGTTCTATTCCTGGGCGTTTACCTGACATGGGCACCAAATTCCCAGTGACTACCCACTGCAATTTAACTTTTGACAGATGCCACCACGTTGCTCTCTGACAAACAACGTAGGAGAGAGGGACAGGCTTCACTTTACTGCTCTGAGAGGCTAATGTCAATTTCAAGAAGAACCTTCAATCACTGTCCACCCACCTGGCTGACATGGCTCAAGGCTGCTTCTTGTACAAAGGCTTTCATGCCCTCCCCCTTCTGTGCTATTCTAACCCTCACACACCATAAAGCACCAGGACATCAGCAACATGCTGGACTTGTTTTCTGTGTGACTGGCATCCTCAACTAGACCGGGCCCTCCAGTCTTTCCTGTTTTCCACTGTGGCACTCCCAGATCTCTGTGGCACAGCACCAGGCAGAGAGAGGCTTTCTGTCTGTCTGTTTAAAGAGAGAATGAACAGACAGGAATATCTGACATCAGCAAGGCTGAGAGGAAATCCCTGACAAGCCTCTGGGTGTGGCTGCAAAGCCTTGAGGGATCCCCACTGTGGGCGGTAACCTGTGTAGACAGCACACAGCATGACTTCTACAAGGAGAGAAGGTGCTCTACAACTCTCCAAATGTGTCACGGCACTGCTGTGAATAAATCACAGGTGTAGTTAAGTCTCTCGAAGGTTCTTGTCATTATGATCCTCTCAATAAACAGAAACTGAAATACAGCTGGTACCACAGAGGCAGCTGTGAAATGTGACAAAGTGCTTTAGAAGAAAGCAGAAGACAGCCTGATGGCGGGGCACAGCCAGTGGTTCCTTAAGCGGGAACTACACTGACCATAAAGGAGAGCGAGGACAAAGTGAACTCAGATAAGGTTAAGAAGCTCAGTTCCTTGAAGAATTGATTCGGAAATCCAAGTCAAACCAAAGGGGAAGGTGTTTCCAACACACACAGTCAACCAGGGACTGACAGCCAAGTAAGGCACAAGTCGTTAGGAGGGGATGGGGACCCGGCAGAAGGCAGGCAAGAGGGAAAGAATTCTGGAGAAGAGGACACCAGCTACCATCCAGGTGGAGATCTGGATGCGGACAGGCGCTCAGTTTCAAGGCAGAAACGGAGATGTAGGTCCTGCCTCTCCCACAGACTGACAGGGAAGACATCGTATACACCACTGCTGTGGGCAGCAGCTGGTACAACTACCACTTTGCAAACTGTTTGGCAGTAAAGTCACAGAAAACACATGCAAACCTAATGACCCAGCAATTTTTCTCTTGGGCACAGAGATACTGAGCAAAAATGCATCCAGATGTTCCCCAGAGGACACAGGATGTTCAACAGAGCAGCCTGCAATTGCCCTGAGTTAGAAACAACTGCCCAATGTCTGTCAACAACAGAAGGGACAATTATACTGTAAACAGTCCCCATTTCTTCCTTTTCAACTCTTGAGTTCTGACATTAACGTACACTAGCCACGTGAATGCATCTTCTGCAGCTGTATGGGATATACAGACAATTTAAACATGTAACATAGAATAAAAGCTGGACACAGAAGGGTAAATATGGCTGGTAATGTAGTTCAGTTTCCAGCACCAAACAGGCATGGTGTTGTCAGTCTAGTCTAGGAGTCAGGAGACAGAGAAAGGAGGCTATCAAAGTTTTCCTCATCCTCAGTCACAGAGTGAGTGTGAGGCCAGGCCGGGCTATAGAAGAAGGAGACAACAGAGGACAATGGAGGAAATATAGCAATAAAGTGCTGGCACAGTATTTAATCCCAGCATTTGGGATGCAGAAACAGGCAGATCTCTGAGTTCAAGGCCAGCCTGGTCTACAAATGGAGTTCCAGGCCAGCCTGGGCTACGTAGTGAGATCTTATCTCAAAAAAAATAAAACAAAAACTAAAATAAAACCAACTGGAGTTGGCTATCAGGATGGTGTAGTGGGTAGCCATTCCAGCTTTGATCTGGAAGTTCCAACCCCCATTGAGGCTTTGGTAACTATCACGCCTACAAGGCAGGGCCAAGAGAGCGCCCTGAAGACCCGAGATCCAGATGTGCTGCCCTCTCTTGGTTTCCGGACCCTGGATGCTGGAGGTTGACTGAACAGAGTTCTCCAGAGAACACCGCTAGACTGTGCTACGTCTTTCCCAGACCCTGCAACCTACCTATCCCTCCATTTGTAAGTTACGCCACTAAATAAACCTCCCTTTTTGGCCGGGCGGTGGTGGCGCACGCCTTTAATCCCAGCACTCGGGAGGCAGAGCCAGGCAGATCGCTGTGAGTTCGAGGCCAGCCTGGGCTACCAAGTGAGTTCCAGGAAAGGCGCAAAGCTACACAGAGAAACCCTGTCTCGAAAAATCAAAAAAAAAAAAAAAACAACAACAAAAAAAAAACACCTCCCTTTTAACTCCGTGGAGTGGCCTTAATAATTTCACCAATATCTGGCGTCCAAGATGTAGTGGGTAGCCATTCCAGCTTTGATGTGGAGGTTCCAACCCCCATTGAGGCTTCGGTAACTATCACGCCTACAAGGCGGGGGCCAAGAGAGGGCCCTAAAGACCCGAGATCCAGATGTGCCGCCCTCTCTTGGTTTCCGGACCCTGGATGCTGGAGGTAGACGGAGCAGAGTTCTCCAGAGAACACCGCCGGACTGCGCTGCATCTTTCCCAGAACCTGCAACCTACTTATCCCTTCATTTGTAAGTTATGCCACTAAATAAACCTCCCTTTTAACTATGTGGAGTGGCCTTAATAATTTCACCAATAGGATGGGTTACCCTTGAGGTGGGAGCAGCTGTGCCTCCCTGAGTGTCAAGCACAGGCTTTGTTCTTTCTGAGACAACCCGCTACCCCTTTGTACTTCTAAAACTGCCCTTTCCTGTATGTACATTATGCTTCAACCCAAAATTTGTGTGCCAGGCACAAGCTCTCCGACAACACTAAGGAACACTCAAGACGACTTCTCTCTCTGAATGGCTTCCGTCTCTGTGGCCATGCTCAAGTCTTCTCAGTGATGAGTGTGCACCATGTCTCTTAATCTCTGCAGTGCTGGCAACTGAAGCCAAGGCCTTGAACATGCCAGGGAAGTCACTACCACAGGGCTACACCCTGCCTGGCTAGGTGCTGGTGTAAGGGGTTTGCTGCTTGTTTACTTTTGAAACTGCTATACTATACAGAAAGGACCCACAACCTACCAAGAATAGCTCAGCACATGTCACACTATATACAGACATGTAAAGACTGGTAAGGTCCTGACAAACCTTATGTTGCCTTTCAAGAATGAACCTGGCTACTGCTAGCTATGAGCACCATGCCTTACCCCTGAAATGAAGAGAAATGCTTGAGTGTGCCAGTGGCAGACCACTGGCTGTGATGTTTAAATTAGTGGTTAAACTAAAACAATGGAACACATACATAAAAATCCAGATCTCTGAGCCATCTAAACCATCGCAGAACTAGATGTTTGGACTCATAAATTCTAGCATTTTGGAGGCTGAGGCAGGGGGACTGCTGTGAGTTCAAGCCTGAGCTCACTGCCTCAGAGTCCTTCATCAGGCCCCAGTTCCCATCCCACTGCCTCAGAGTCCTTCATCAGGGCTCAGTTCTCATCCCACTGCCTCAGAGTCCTTCCTCAGGCCTCAGCCTCCACCTCCCTGCCTCAGAGTCCTTCATCAGGCCTCAGTTCCCATCCCACTGCCTCAGAGACCTTCCTCAGGCCTTAGCCTCCATCTCCCTGCCTCAGAGTCCTTCATCAGGCCTCAGTCTCCATCTCACTGCCTCAGAGTCCTTCCTCAGGCCTCAGCCCTCATCTCCCTGCCTCAGAGTCCTTCCTCAGGCCTCAGCCTCTATCTCTCTACCTCAGAGTCCTTCATCAGGCCTCAGTCTCCATCTCCCTGCCTCAGAGACCTTCCGCCTCAGCCTCCATCTCCCTGCCTCAGAGTCCTTCATCAGGCCTCATCCCCACACCCCACTGCCTCAGAGACCTTCATCAGGCCTCAGCCCCCATCCCACTGCCTCAGAGATTTTCATTAGGCCTCAGCCCCCACCCCACTGCCTCAGAGATCTTCATTAGGCCTCAGCCCCCATCCCCCTGCCTCAGAGAGACCTTCATCAGGCCTCAGCTTCCAACTCTTTTCCCCAGAGGGGCTTTCTTGGATGTTCTGCACACCCGCTTACATCTGTTTCATTGCTTTCTTCATAACTCTTATTATTATGTGGAATGAACCTATTTATCTGGAGTTCACTGCTTGACTCGCTCAACAGAACACGTACTCCAGGAGAGCAAGGGCTGTGTCTGTCTTCTTTAGGCTGGTTCCCTTGAGTCTGCAACAGTTCCCAATAAATATTTTGATGAATTTGAATGAAATGAATAAACACAGAAGCAATCTGCAGAGAATCCCAAAGGCATGAACCAGCTTCTCTCACCTACCATCAACACACTAACACTGAAGGAAGAGAAGGGGGAAGAGATCTGACCCTTCCCTTGCCGAGGACTAAGTTTTGAGGTTTTCTTACAGACAGACCATACCCACATTTCATTTCCCTTGAGTTATTTTGTTCTTTTTTTCTTCTAGAATCTTTAGTCATTTTTAACCCTGTGCATGTCTGTGTATAGGTATGAGCACAGGAGCACAGCTGCATTCAAAGGCTGGAAGTGCTGGATCCCCTGGAGCTGGAGTGACAGGTGGTGGTGAGCACGATGTAGCTGCTGGGAATGAACTGAGGTCCTCTGCAAGAGCAGTGCATGCTCTTAGCCACTAAGCCATCCTTCCAGACTATTCTGTTCATTTCTGATGGCCTTGGATGAGCAACTCAAACACGTTTAGAAGAGGAGAGCAGAGGGCAGCTTCGACACTGAGAGACATCCTTTCTTTCTGGAAAGGAACTCACTACCAAGCAATACCTCTCCAGAAACCCCACCTTGACAGAGACACTGACCATCCTCATCTGCTAAATTCTCCTTTCATAGACACAGTCTCAGAGACTACTTCAAACAAGTTGGGTTCTAACCAGAAAGAAAATTCTGTTCGTGTTTGCCCTGAACAGAGGAAACCCCAAAAATGCAGGGATACTTACTAATTTCTATAAAGAGTTCATTTATGTTTATTGCATTCTTTGCGCTGGTCTCTACAAAGATGGCATGAATGGAGTCGGCATAGTCCTTCGCATCTCTCTCCATGACTTCTCTGGAAGGCAACAATTGCTAATCAGAGGTTCTGCCCTGAAGACCTTCCCTTCATTCCACCCCGTACAGAAGGACACCGGATCAGCTGCAGCATGAGCCCAGACAGTCTTCCCAGTTACACAATTTTTGTGACAAGATTTTCTCCAACCCCTATATTAAACAAATAACCCCCCACCCCAAGCAAAGCAAAACAAAACAAAACAAGGTCCTTGCTCTGGGAATCAGATGTGGTACACTGAAATTGTCAATAAAATGTACTTTTTGGATTCAGTTACTTCTGTGTCATAGCAGCCTGAGAGGCAACGATCTCAGATAATGTCATGTGGGATACCACCAATGTTTGAGTAAATTACACGCCTGTCTACATGTAATATAATTAACTCCAAATGCCTTTAGTCTTCATTTTAGCTTGAAACTTCAGGGCCAACCACATAACACAAGAAATTTTTCAATGTCAGAGATAAAATAAAAGCTAGACTCTTACCAGGGATGAGGCTCATTAGAAAAAGCACATGTAATCGGCATGGGAATCTCTTGTCTAATAACTCACCTGACATCGCTAAGATCGCATTTGTTCCCTGCAATGGCAACAACAATGCTAGGGGGACCATGCTGGCGGAGCTCTCTCACCCAGTTCTTCAAGGTTGAAAACGTCTCCTGCAACAGCAAGGGAGAGTAGCTAGAGGCCTGAACAACAGATGATAGCGTCTAAGAAGAAATGAATACAGTCTTACTTCTTTTGTGATATCATAGACGATGATGGCTGCCGCTGAGCCTCGATAGTACATCGGTGCCAAGGCACGGAACTGCAGAGGGAGAAGAAGCAATGAAACTGGGACGGCCAGTTAAGGATATCCTCTTACAGACTCAAGTCCATTATCCCTGCACAAAAGGTAATCTTTCTCTGAAGCCACAGAAGATGACATAATGTTTCACAGCAAATGAACCTGTAATTACTAAAGGCCGAGACTGATGGTAGTGCTGGCATGTCCCAGAAGATGGTCTAGAAAACAGCTTTAGAGGAACTGAATATGGGACTATAAACAATTCTTTCAGCTAAGAAAGCTTTTTAATTGAACTCAATGTTGTAATTCCCAAATTCATTTGTTCAATAGTCCTTTAAACTTTGGCTTCCCAAACTAAGGAGGTAAAAACACTGCTGTAGCCAGAGAGATCAAGGACACTATGGGAAGGCTCACACAATCAACTCACCTGGGATCATAGGGGCTCGCAGAGCCTGAACTGACAGCCAGGGAGCCAGCATCAGACTGATCTGAGCACTCTGAATATATGTTACAATTTTATGTAGCTTGGTCCTCTTGTGGGACTCCTAACAGTAGGAACAGAGGCTGTTTCTGACTCTTTTACTGACTTTTGAGATCCTACTCCTCACACTGGGTCGCCTTGCCAGCCTTAATACATGGGAAGGGGCTTAGTTTTACTGCAACTTGATATGTCATGTTTTATTGATATTCATGGGCAACCTGCCCTTTCCTGGATGGAGACAGAAGAGGCCGGCACTGGGAGTTGGGAGGGGGTGGGGGAGGAGGGTATAGGAGGGGAGGAAGTGGGGGAGCCTACCACCCAGCTGTAAAATAAATAGATGAATTAAAAAACAAAACGAAACAAACCAAAAACCACTGCTGTAAACAGTTCTCCTAGACATGAATGCATATTTAAATTCACTACTTGCACGACTTTGCAACTTGCTTTTCTGACATCTGCATACATAGGTCTCATTTCACTTCCACAATGCCACACTATCAGTAGTTTCTGCCTCTTCCCACCACATACTAGAGGGACTTGGAGAAAGGACTATCCTCAAAGTGAGGGTAATTCAGCAGGCCATTTCCTTTGAGGAGTGTGGGACAGAAAATGTGAATCTCTTTCCTCAAATTTGGGTGGCGGGCAAATGTTCCAGTGTGGCTTTCCCCCACCAAAGTGTCATGCCTTCATCTTATACCCTAACTTTGAAGCCTGGTCCCCAAGAGTGATGCAACATCCCTAAACTGTATACTGTTCCCTTTGTGGTGGTTGGTTGGCAGGCACTATCCTGAGAGAACATTGGGTGTATACATAGAACATACACATGTGGCTCTTGTATGTCTTTTGAGTTCATGGTCATCCTTCTACCCCCATGAGGAAGATGCCATGACTGCTAGGGTCTGGCATGGATCTCATGCACTATAGGGTATCCAAGAGCTACAAGCCAGCCAGTTTCAGTCCTTTCTGCCCGACAAACATTTAAAATATTGGACTGACTTGCACAGTGTAAGAGAATGAGACAGCAGCATGCAACGCGGAACTAGGATCATAGTCCTAGCTGCCTTTACTCTGGATGTACTTGTGATGGCAACATCCTTTACAGGGTCATTTCTTTCTCTAGTTTTATAAGGGCAATTCTCACCAAGAGAAGCTGATTGCAAATCTACAATGTGTAAGCGGACAAATGTAAATCCCCATGTAAATACTCATCACAAAGTCAAAGCATTTCTGTCAACAGAGACAATCCCCAAGATCCCTAACCTTGATAACACTTGCCCTCAAGTCCATCTGCAGATGGAACACAACCACAGTGTTTTTCTCCTTTTTGCTTATAATCTGCATAGAAAATCCTTTTCCATCCTCTCATCTTCTCTTCTCTGAGCACAGGTGTGCACATTTCTTTAAGCAGCACAACTGAGGTCTGTCATATGGCAGTTCTGCCACCTCTGCCTGCTTTGAGGAGTGCTCGGTCCTTTTACATCTAAGAACATATGCTGTGTCTGGACACTGGTCTTGGGCTTTGTTGCAAATCTGTTCAAATTTTAAAAACTTCCCATTCATTCTTTCTTCCTCTCTCCACAGTGACTAAGTTTTTGTACCCATGGTTGGTCTCGAATTCATGATGTAGCCAAGGGTGACACTAAACTGCTGATACTCCTACCTCATCTCCTGAGTGAAGGGATTATAGGCATGAGCCATCGCTCCTGGCTTTGTGGTGCTGGAGATCAGCTCTAGGCTTAGTGTGCCCAGCCCAGGCCCCTTCTCTTAGCTTTTTTAGCTATACTTTCCTGCATTAGTTATTAGGTGGTTGTTCTTGCAACTACAATATAAGTTTTTTCTAATCCACTTCTAATTTAAATGTATGCTTCCTATAAAACATCAGAATCTCACATGAATCTAACCTTGCCTATTAGAACCTTGCATGAATTTAACCTCATTTACTTCACCATTCTTTGGCTGCTGTTGCTAAATGCTTCAAATGCACACACTATTATTGAAGGAAATCACAAGGTGTCCAGAAGTTGAGAGAAGAAAAAAATGATGCTCTTTGCCCTCCATCACCTGCACTGCTCACTCTTTCTTCTTCTTTTCTTTCTTTCTTTCTTTCTTTCTTTCTTTCTTTCTTTCTTTCTCTCTCTCTCTCTCTCTCTCTCTCTCTCTCTCTCTCTCTCTTTCTTTCTTTCTTTCTTTCTTTCTTTGTTCAAGACGGGGTTTCTCTGTGTAGCTTTTGAATCTGTCCTGGAAGTCACTCTGTAGACCAGGCTGGCCTCCAACTTACAAGAGATCCACCTACCCCTGCCTCCTGAGTACTGAGATTAAAGGTGTGCACCACCTGGCTCATTCTTTCTTTCTGTAGGATGTGAGCAGCCACTCTGTGGCTGCTACTACTGAAACTCTCTGCTCTCACTCTTTCTAAGACTACTTTGATTTCCTATCTGGAAAACGATCTTGGCAGACTGGCTTGTTTGCACGCCCACAGCATGCTAGAGATTCTGTCTATTGGCCTGCCCCCACTGCTTCTGTGAGAAGTCAACCTCTACTCCTACTGTTCTCTGGTATACAATTTATCTCTGGCTAGTTGAGGGTTTTCTCTTTATCTTCACTATTTGGCAGTTTGACTAGGGTCCTTGTTGTACTTAAAGGTTTACCAAAGCCCTGAGATTTGAGAGTTGATGTTTCACTAAACACTGGAGGAGTCTGGCCATCAATTACAGAAGCGCTGTCTTTAAGCTGCATCCCATCCCTTCTTCGTTCCTTCTGGATGCCAGCTCTACTTTACTCAGCTGACTGTGTCTCTAGGTTGTTGAGACACTCAGACTTTTCTGGCTTTTCCTCCCCTGGTCCCCAAGTGAACCGTTCTACTGTCCACCCCGCCAACTTTGCTTCTTGACACTGTGGCTTTCAATCCTGGCATTTCCATCATAGTCTTTATGAACTTCCACTCTGCCTAAGCTTCCCATCTGTAGTCAGCCTGCCATTCTTTGAACCTTTGGACAGACATACTTAAAGACATACTTTCAACTCTGTGGCTGTAGATTCCCATCACAGGATCATCTCTGTTCTCGTTTCTCCGTACAAGTAACAATTACAATGGCACACTGGCCATGTCTCCCACACTGCCATTTTGAAGAGCGGTAAGTAACTCTCATCATCTTCAGACTGATTTTGTGCACTGTTAGGATGGCTCTGCGTGGGTTGGATCTGAAATCCAGGACACTCTCTCTCCTCTGAATGAGATGCTTCTTCAGAATGCTCAAGGAGTTAATCAATGCCCTCTAATGTGGCAGACCAGTGAGTCTGCTCAGTCTTGTCATCCTGTTGATTTCTGTTGGGCTTTGCAATGTCCCCTCTGCATATTCACCCAGGCTTGAGGGTCCTCCTTTCTGGGATGTGTCTTTTCAGGGCTTGCTGCTCTTGTCTAGCGACCTAGCACTCTCAGACAATATCTTTCCAATACCATAATCTTTTTTTTTTTTTTTTTTTTTTGGTTTTTCGAGACAGGGTTTCTCTGTGTAGCTTTGCGCCTTTCCTGGAACTCACTTGGTAGCCCAGGCTGACCTCGAACTCACAGAGATCCGCCTGGCTCTGCCTCCCGAGTGCTGGGATTAAAGGCGTGCGCCACCACTGCCCGGCCAATACCATAATCTTAAAAAGACATTTTCTGCTTGATTCCTTGCTACTCGGTGCCACACCCTCGGGAGCTAACCAGGCATGCCTGTGAGGCCCGGACCATGCCCGTGCCACGTTGCTTCCACCTTGGTCACTGGTTATTTGGCAGCACTTTCAAAAAGCTACTTTGTAAAGTCTTATCCAATATTTGTTTATAAGCCAGGGTGGCCATTCTGGGTGACACCCCTGTTGCTGACTTGGAAAGTCTCCCATATTGCTCTGGTGAAGAAAGATGATGGACACAGATAAGGAGAGTCCAAAGATGTCATCACACCTGTACCCCAAATCTAGCTCTGGATTAGGGGACAGCAAACTTCCCCTGTTGAGGATCAGACAATAAATAACTTTAGCTCTGTGGCCCTCTGATTTGTGTCATAGTATTTTTGGATCAGGATTACTATAGAGTAAAAGCACAGACAAAATGAACAGATAAGCATGCCTGTGTTCCAATAAAACTTTATTTACAAGAGGGTGGTTGGTTCAACATGGCCCATGGTCTGCCCATCCCAGCTCTGGATGCTCCTAAGCTATCCTTGTCCCAATTTAAGCACTGACAACATCTGCTTATGTGAATACTGTAAGAACTGATGCAACTTCAAGCTGTTCTGACCTCTGTGGAACAATAAGCCAGAACAAGCACAGGAAATACAGGGTTGCAAATACGGCTGCTGGAGTGTGGCTGAGAAGACTTCTAGACTATCACATAGTTAGGCAGCACTGGGGATGCTGCCCTTCACTTATGATATGCATTCATGGTGGCCATCTGAGTACGTGCTGGGCTGTCTTGGCACACCCCAGGAGTCTTAGTGAAGGGTAAGTTGGGGAAACAGTGACAAAATAAACTCACTCAAATTGCAAACAGTGGACAAAGGACTCACAAATGCTCAGTCTTAAGAAATTTAATCAGGAAAACAAGTTTCATTTCGTCTGGCATTTGAGAAAGTTCAGGCTTATTTTTATAGCCAGGCGCTGATTTTTCGAGAAGTCTGAGTCAGTGAACAGACAGCCTGGCAAGTTGCTTCTGCTAGAATGTAGAGAGCACAACATGGGACCTTTCATTTCACAGTGGACTCTCATGGGCCTCACAGAAACAGCCACTTTGAAAAAACATCTAAGGGCTCCAGTCTGTTTTCCTAGGCGCTTCTTAGCCCTTTGATATACAAACCATTGTCTTCTCAGTACTTCTTCCTTTTTTCCTGTAACAAGCTCCCCCAGTCAAGGACTCACATACCATTCAATTCTTACTTGCTTTCATCAACTTAGTGAAATCACTTGATGATCACAGGAAACTTGTCAGAACTACATGTGGCAACAGATGTGAGGGTCAAGTGGGGAGGGCACGTGTTCAGTTCATCAAAAGGCTTTCATTCTGCAACGGTTTTGGGTCCCCACCATGAATCTCCCCCTACAGAGAGCTAAGCAATAAACACATGAACCTCAGAAACTTATCATTGGAGTCATGCACTACTACAGTAGGCAGAGAGGATCTGTCCATATCTGTCAGGAGGCGGGCTACCAACCAGCCGACAGAAGAACTAACATCAATGCCATGTGCCAAGGGCTAGAGCACACACCAAGGCAGTTCTTGCCTCTCAAAGAGGTCACAGTCTAAACGGAAGACAGAAAAGTAAGAAAATAGGTGACAATCCCATGGCTGAGAGCAAGCAAAGACTGTTCAGGACACAGAGTTCATTTGCTGCCACCCAACTAAGCCCTGGGCATTAGTTTGCTTTTGGATACTGTGCCAGCACTGGACAACAGCTGTAAGCAAGACATTGCAGGCCCAGCTCCTGACATTTACATCTTGGTGGGAGAAGCTGTCAGTAAAGGTAGACAGACATTACGACTTGTAATGAGTGTCTTGAAAATGAATACTGATAATGATAGAGAATGAACCAGAGGTCCTGCTCAGGTACAGGGAGGTAGGGAAAACCCCAAGGAATGACATTTGGCTGGAGGCCAAAAGCTGGTAAGAAGCCTATAAGTGACAGAGGAGGTACCAGTGAGAAGAACCAGTATACTCCAAGGCCTGATGGTAGATATGCATGGAGGCCAGCATGCATGGAGAAGAGTGGAGGAGGACAAATGGGCTGCATGGGTCCCTTATTAGAACACAGACAGAAGTGAGTAAGGGTGAGCAAGAAGACAGCAGAGTCTGATCAATGTTCCCCACAGTGTCTGGGTTCTCTGAGTAGTGACATGGGTCAGGACTGGGTGGAGGAAAACAGCGAGAGCAGTCCAAAGGCTGCAGAACACTTGAGTGACAGTGAAGGCAGCCGAAGTCAGTAGAGTGGAGAGCTGAAGAACTGAATGGCCAACAGAGCTGTCAGGAAGAACGCAAGACGACTTCCAGATCTGAGTGTAAGCAGCACAGCTTTATGGCAAGAGGGGTGGTTAGGACAGCTACTCTTGGGTAACAGAGGTAGGCTTCAGTTATTGGACCAAAGACACGAAGACAGACAAGAAAATCTAGAGTTGTGTGGTACACTGGAGAAGCACACAAGTTTAATGCTCCAGAGCAGACTGGCAGGAAGAGGTGGAGTGGAGTCCAGCTACAGGTACCGTACAGGGCCTAGAAGATCTAGCCCTGGATGAATGGGCAAATCTTTGAATGAACTCTGAAATCTGGTGCCTTGGGCATGTCCTTCTGTACAAGGACAACTGGCCACACCCAGTATTCCTCTCCTGATTCTCTTCCTGCTGCAGGGTTTCCTGGTCAAGGGCCCTGTCCCTGGCCTGGCCTTTCAGCATCTCCTGCCCAGTTCTGGGCTGCAAGATGGTACTTCAGGCAAGGAAGGCCAGATTGCACAATAGAGCAGCACTCTCTGCCAAAGAACCAATTGGAAGTGGGTAAGTAAGAGGCAGGCAAAGCAGGCAGTCATAGTCCTCAGGCTCCTGTGACCACTTGAGTAGAGGGGAGGTTCATGCCTAGGCATTTATTACACTTTGATGGTACAAAAAAGTCACCATGATAATGGAGCTTATTATCACAGCATGGGAGCATCAAAACATATCTGAGGGGGTAACTGAAACCTGGGATCCAACAGAAGGCATGTCTATCACTACTACGTAGTGGTATTTGCTCCGCCCATGACCTTGGACTATGTGGCTCGAAGGGGGCGGTGCTTCTTGTCTGTGGAGGTGACCTCTTAACTGGAAAGTCAGAGAGGTCACGTTCTCTTCTTGGCATGATGGGACAGCAGAAGGCCAGGTGCATTCGCTTTTGGGCAGAACAGAGGACAACTTCAGCAGTTTACTCAGTTCTGTATTTCATGAGTGGATTTCCCCAACTTATGTCTTAATAAATTCCCTGATACCCCTTCCTTAAGCAAGCAGACTCCCGTGGATTTCTAGACTTATTACTAGGGAAAGTCCATGTTTTGGCTAACAGCACAGTCCCAGGGCAGTGTGTAGATACATCAGTAGGACTTGGGGAAGCAGTGCTTCTGCTGGATGGAAGAGTGATGGCTGCAAAGGGTACCCCCCTCCTAACTCCCCACTCTAGGTGCACACAGGCCACCAACACAGAGGGTAAATGATACACAGCATTAACAACGAGAGGCAGCAAAGAGCAGGGCTGAGGCATGACCTCTGCTCCACCTGGGTCCCTAGTGCAGTGTTCTTCCGTTTGTCTGGGACAACTCTTGTCAGACTCTATGCAGCACACAGTATCCATGTGGCTTTAGATAATAGTGTGATGACAAATTATTCTCCTGATTACTTCTGCTGTACTTTGAAGAGCTTAGGACAGTATCGTGTATCTGTCAGGTGCTCTGTTTGGACAGAATCATTTGAAAACAAAATTAAATTGCAGTTGAATAATGGGGTGACTGGTGCAGGCACCTCACCGGGGAAATTGGACTTAGTGCCCAGAATGGAATGAGGCTGAGGGTGTGCTTCTGTTTCCTCTCCCGCTTCCTCATCTGTTCTTGCCCCCCGCCCACCCCCACTCAGTTCCCACCCTACTGTGTTGCAGACAGGCTCCCTGTCAGACTTTTAAGAGCCTGTCACACGGCACTGCATTAGCTAATCTGTCCACTTAAACCTAAAGTTTATATGCTGTAAAGTTCCCTCTTTGGCTTTTAAAAGGCAGCTATAAATGAGCTGTGCTTAATTCTCCCTTTCTACCACTAATTCTTTTACATCTTTACTAGAGGACAGAGCCCCAAATCACACACTCTGCTCAAAGAACTTTATCAGGCCTGTTAGTCAGCATTCACTTGAAGACACTAAAACGTATAAAAACGCCCTCAGTGCCCATTATCACCGTCTCCATCAGTGGACTTGGTGGCCCTAACTGAAAAGAAAAAGGCTGGCCCACGCAAATGGAAGGAAATGTGTCTCTGGCGCAAAGAAGTGAGGAACGCCGGACGACAGGGACGCTGACAGCTGGGTTGGAGCTGTAATTTGGTTTGGGCCTCAGAAAACATAGTAAATTAAAGAGTGACTTACTCGTTCTTGTCCTGCTGTATCCCAGATTAGGAATTTATGTAGCTCATTTTGGTACTGGACAGTCTTGGTCATAAAGGATGCCCTATAAAGAGAGACCTGAACGATCAGAACACAGTTATTTAACACCGCTGTCCAGCCCCAGTCGGAATCATCACTGAGATTTGCACTCAGGCTCCCAGCTCCCCACTACATCCTCACCACGACCCTCTGGAGAATTCGGGGATGGTCAGACACTGGCTGCAGCCTCTGTTAAAATAAAGCATTAGGCACATATGCCTGACAGAGGAGGAAGCCTGAGTTCTCTCATCAAAGAACCAAGAAATAGTAAGCCTCCCTTGTAAAACTCAAGGTGCTGTCACTCAAACAGGTGGGTGTTACAAACAAGCTTTCTTTAAAATAAGGCTTATTTTATTATTGTGAGGCTGTTTGGTGTGTGTGCACGTGCACCCATGCACTTACAAGGCAAGCACTTTTACCTGCTGAACTATTTCACTGGCCCCATGAGAAAGCTGTCTAAAGATGAACATGCTCAGGGACCTGTGCACTAGTCAAAACACCTCACACCATTTTGGATTTCTCTTCCAGTTCTTGAACCATAGGCCACATAATCAGTCAGGTAAGAACCAGGGCAACAATGGAGCTCAAAGAATTATGATGCCAAACAAAAGAGGATAAGGACGGCTTCTGGGACAGCTGAACCAAGGCAACAGTGACCTCTGGACTGGATGATCACTGCTTCAGGAACACAACATGCTTCTCAGCTGAGGCTCAGCATCAGCCATGGGATACTTCCCAGCCCATGGTCACAGTCAAGGTTCTGTTATTTGGAGGCCCTAGGCATTTTGCAGGACTGTGAAACTACCAAGTGCCTGTGCATTTCTGAGGAGCCCCAAGGCCACAGCACAAGCTTGCCACTCTCAAGTCCTGGGGAGTAGGCCTGGCTCCAGGGCTGCTCTCTATCCTCTATGAAGGGTTTTTGTCTTCCCACTCCGGTTCAAAGAACCTAGAAATGGCCCTTTGGGTAGGAGGTAAACAGCCACATTGTGTATTTTTAAAAGATGTGTTTCCCTTTGTAGCCCAGGCTAGCCTTGAATTCACAATCCTGCCTTAGCTTCTGAATGTTGAAATTTAGGTCTGAGTCAGCATGCCAGGCCTGAGATGTACTCTTAAACTACACCCCAATCACTGCAATCTAGACAATGAACTCAATGGTTAGACATTCTCAGACATGCAAGAGCCTTAATTAGAGGTAATCTTCAAGAGAGTGCATTAGGAGGACTTCTGGAAGAATACTGAGCTCCTCAAGTATCAGAATTCTTAGAAACACTTATGTAAATTCATGGCCCAGTAGGCAGCCTCCCAAATGGCTGTTAAGGATGGAAAATTAGGGAGATGCAAGACCCTGCTGCTGTAGGTGCTGTCTGTCCCATGGAGCCCCAGGGAAAGCGAACTTTAGGGTAAAGGTTCTCCATACAGTTCAAGTATTAGGAACTTTTGGTGAGTCACTCTGACTAAATCAGGGTGTGCAACAGGATTCCTCACTTCAGAAAGATCTGGCAGTCAGAGGTCACAGCATTGGAGAAGGTGAAGAGAGAAGACATGTCTCCATGGATGTTACTGTTCAAAGGCAGCCCAGGAAGGTTCAGTGGAAACTCTCCAACAAGTCCACAAAGATTACCACTCGGCTCTGATAACTGCACTGTGGTGCTACAAGAACAGAAGAGCAAGTGGCACACACGTGTGACTGTAGGATGGACAGGCAAGATGTGCTCCTGGTGGACAGAAAGCTGAGGAAGGAAGATGTAAGGATCAAGAGTTGTTTCCTTAAGCTCAGAACTCACGCCCAGTCCAACCTGCCTTCAGCCAGTTCCTTTAATGAGTCAGAGGACACAAACACAGCCCTGAGGTCTGCAATGTCTGAGAATGAGCCCAGCACCCCACACAGCTCTCACTGCACATCCTCCCAAGCCACCCACACAGTTCTTCCTCTGTAGCAGGGCAGTGTCTGCAGCTTCTCTTTGCTGTCCTGGAGCTTAGTCAACAATTACTGGGGTTGCCCACAGGCTACTTGGCAGTCCATCTCACACACACACACACACACACACACCTGCCACAGCATAAAGAACAAAGTGTTACTCAAACGTAGAGGTCAGAGAAGGCTCTGCCCTACCTTGGCCAGAATGTAGCAGAAGGAAGTGGTGCAGTAGGGCAGGACTGCCTTGCTAGGGTCCTACCTACCTTCTGTTCAGTCACCAGCCTCAAGCCCTGTACTAGCCACAGGGGTCAACCAAAACCTGGGATTGCTGCAGACACTCACTCTGCTCCCCTACCACAGGGGCCTTTGCAGTGGTTGGGGTGTCTCTGCTGCTCACTCATGGGTTGGGCTTCTTCCAACCTCCCAGTCCCAGTCTGTCACTTTCACCTTTCCTCTTTTGAGCCCTATTATGTCTTGTCTTCACAGCACCAAGCATCCCTGATCACTGTAAGAGAGTGAGATCCTACCTTTCCTCCAGTCACTTTACCTGACATACAGATGTGGTTTCTCTCTGTAGTAGTAGCACTCCAGACTAGAGGCAGACTTGGGAGGGACACTGCCTGCTGCCTCTCTCAGTGGTCCCTGCTGGGTTCTGGGCTAACACCAGGACAGAGGCTGCTTACCAGACTCAATCATGATTTTTTTGCCAAAGCTACAGCGCTGTCTACTAAGGACAGCACTTTTCAAAATTGAACTAACTAGACAACTGAGACGCTTTATCACATAACACAGTGTCTAACCCTACATTGGTCCTAACTTCTAAGTTGTCAGTCATAGACACCAAGCCTGCCTTTAACATCATGTGATTACATCTGTCTTTCATTAACTTGCATCCAATTTTGCAGTAGAGTTGTCTGGCTCTTCATTTTACATTCAATCTATACCCAAACCTTGGCCTCTGAAATAAATCTATAAATTGGACCCTAATCTTTGGGTGGCTTTACTCCAATTTCCTGCCATCATCGCTTCAACTCTAGGATCACTCCTCTAATGTTCAAGTGAAATGATGCAGAGGGTACGATAACTTCAGAGTCTTGCATTTTGAAAAACAGGCATTGGCTCCCTGCCATTCAAAGGATACATTTCTATTTCCCAGCCTGCCATTTACTTGTCTGAGAACCTTATTTTTCACTACTAAACTGTCTCTCTTCAGTCTGCCTAGGCAGATCTTATTACCTCTTTCATCTAAAATCCCTACTAGCATTATTTCCTAAAGTTAGAATGCCTTTCATATGCTTCTCCATTTTTCATGACGTTCTAAAAATATGACTTTCACGCACATCAAGTAGTCACGATCTTTGGTCAGAGTACGTGTTCCCAATGAAAATACTTGCTACAAGGTGTTTTAAAAATTTCTTTTCTTTAACTTCAGCAACTTGTTTAGGTCTCCTGGAATATTGATGTGCAACGGCATCACTGCAGACTCCCTACTTTGAGCCCCTTCTGGGCTCAAGAGGTGCAGTTACTCTCACTGTGTACTCTGAAGACAAACAACTCAGCACATCTTCAAATGAACAAAAGGCCACAATTTAAACACCCTGGATCTCAAGTTGTATGTGTTGACGACACACTGCCAGACACACAGCAAAATAGACATGAAGAGACAAACACAGATGACCCATATAGTCTAACAGAGACATCAAAGGTCTTGGAAGGTATAGGACAATTCAAAAACCATTTGGGGCTCATTGAGAATTTGCTGAACAGAGGGGACATCTATCTAGGGTAGAGTCTTTAAGCCTCTCTGTTGTCTGTGCATGGTGGTACATGTTTATAATCTCAGCATTTGGGAGACTAAGGTGGGAAGATCTTCAGTTTTAACAGAAGTCTTAGGAGTACCCACCAATTCTGTGGTGTCCATATAGCCTACAGTGATAAGATTGCTCACCATTTCCCTACACTCATCTGATGGATGATGGCACACTGTAGCTGCCCCCCACTCACGCCAGCAGGTGCACAAAAGGGTCATTTTCGGCCCATACAAATTCTTTATTTTCTCTACCTTGGTCATATATTCAAAATGATTTTTGGAAAATATTGAAAATCTAGGAAAATGTTTATTTAAACAGGAAAATATCTAAAGAGTTTCATCTCTCCTTTCCTATATTTTTAAGAACATAATCCTTTCACATCATAAACAATAAAATCAACAATAACAACAACAAAACAAAACTGGCTGCTTCAGCTGAGTGTTGGCTGCTCTCCTGTCCGCTTCCTGTTTGCTCATGTGCGAACCTATTTAGCTGGACTGTAAGCATCTGGTCTGTGAGCATCTGGACTGTGAGGGTCTAGATGGTGAGCCTTCATCATCACTGCTCAGGGGACAGAGCCATGAATAGGACTGCTGAGATCCAAGGCCAGCCAACAGAATCCCAGATGTCTTGTCTTATTCAACATTTGAGCTTCCAAAGTCTTGTACCAACACAGGCAAGAGGAGTTAAGACCCCATCAATGTCTCTGAGAAACTCAACTGGGAGAGACGGTCACGGGGACAGAGATGTATAAGGCAGCTTTTCTGGAGATACTTACAAGGCTCTTCACAAGAGCTACCGTGAGAAGCCAGGACCAGAGACGGTGATTTGAAGACGAAAGGAGAGAGTACAATGATGGGCCTTGAAGATGGTAGAAGAGGCCACAAGTCAAGGCAGTCACTAGGAACTGCACTAGGCAAGGCAACAGGTTCTCCCCTCACAACTCCTAGGAGGAAGCAGCTTGGCCAACACCCTGAGTTTAGAGTTAGGGAAAGCTGATTTTGAACCACTGATTTCCAGGACTAGAGGTGAAAACATCTGTGTTCTTCAAAGTGATGCAGTGATTGGTCATGGCAGCTGGAGGAGACAAACACATGACAGACTTTCTGAGGAGCAAGGGGAGTTGTTCCTGGAAGTTAGCAGGGGATGGTGCAGATACCATAAAGAGCAAGATAGCACCAAAGCAGAACATAGCAGCCCTGCCTGAGCTGGGTTAGACAGGGCAGGGTAGGTATAGTGTTAGGAGGCCACAGAGAAGGCTTTGGGCAGTGAAGAGACCGCTGGGGATGAAAGCAT